CCCCCAGCCCCACTCCCCTCTCCACTCCCACCCCCACCTCCACTCCCCTCTCCACTCCCCTCTCTACTCCCCTTTCCACTCTCTCCACCCCCACTCCAGTGGCAAGTAGGAAGGAGAATGCAACTGCTCTACAAGGGCCCAGCAGGAGGCTTAGCTTGAAGGGAAAGGAATTCGCCTGGGCCTCTCTGCAGGAGCTTGGGACACTGCCAGAAGCCCCCACCACAAACCTGTATTCGACAGGGAGGGAGCGCCTTCCAAAGGTGCCACTGACCTCTTTCACAAAGCTGGGTATTAGTGGGGAAGCCCGGGGATGGTGGGTCTCCTCAAACTGCCTGACCTCCCCAGATGCAGTGAGGCAGCTTCTGAGCATGGAGGAGTCTGCTGACCCAATCCTAGTTGCTGGACTCTCCCCTCTGACCCAATTTCATGATGCTTTGCAGAAGGGGCTGTAGTGAGGCTGGACCCAGCAAGCCTGGACCTCGGCCCCTCTGCTTTGGTCGGGGGCCCTCCGGATCTCTCCTGAGGGTGATGGTTGGCTAAAGGCTGCCCTGGCCAAAACCTGCCCCACACGTTTGCCCAAAGACAGGAACCTGCAGGTTTGGGACCACCACAGAGACATAGTGGGCTGTGACAGATACAAACATTTGTCTACAGTGCTCACAATTGCAGCTCCAAGTTCATATGAGCAGGTTCCCAGCCCTTGCAGGGTGTGAAGGACACTGTTGATGTCCCCATTTTATAGATAAGGAAACTGGGTAATTGCTTGTCTGAACGTAACAGAAAACAAACATTTAACAAATCCAAAGCAATTAAAAATAGCCACAAAAAAAGAGAATGACCTAGGTTGACAACTCGCAGAGCAAGGAGGTGGCAGAGACCCGCCCAGGTGAGCTTGGTTGCCGCCCCCAGCTCAATCTTCCTCCTCTCCTCTCTCTGTCCTTTTGCCGCTGACCAGAGGCAGCCTGATTCCCATTCCCTGATGCCTCACCTTCTTGCTGCCAGATGCCTCTAGGAATTGGGGTCCTTCAGACTCCAGATGCCCTGGCCTGGGCCTTAGAACATCTGGACTTCCCCGGTGAAGGACAGCTGGACAGTGCCCTGCTTCTCACCCACAACTGGGACCCTGACCATGCCATGAGCCCCCTGGGTGGAGGTGAGATGGGGGTGGGGATGGTAGGACTGAGTGGTACAGATTCTGTCTTGGCCCTCGTCATGGGGGAACTCTCCCAGTGCCACGACAGGATGTATGAGTTGTAGCCAGCAGAGTGCCCCAGTGGTGCCAGGTGACAGTCCCCCTGGAATATATCAGTGCATTTGCTAAGACTCCATGTGTTCTCTTGGGCCTCACATAACATGGACTTTGAGAGTGGAGGCCAAGAGGCGGACTTGGGAGTGCCTGAGGCCTTGTTCTGAAACACCTAGGGGGCTGGCACCCCACTACCCTCATACCCTTACCACCAGTTTCCCCACCAGTGATGACGATAGCTACTCAGCGAATGGGCTCCTACATGCCTTTACGCGTCAGAATGGCCTGGGAGGCAGGTGCCAGTATATTAGTCCCATATTACCCATGAGAAACTGAGAACACAGATGTTAAGTAACTTGCTCAAGGTGATCAGCCAGCAAGGATCAGAGCAAACGGGATCGGTAACATCTCCTCATGTGAGACAGGCTGTTATATTCAGAGGGGGTTGGTCTCACTGTGAACTGCCCCAGCAGGGGCCTCTGCAGAAAAGCATTTCTGTTCCAGAGACCTGCCAGGGACAGTGACCATGGGGGAAGACGGGAGATGTAGACCCACCGAGCTCTTTACAGAAGCCTTTATTGGCCAGGGGTCAGAGTTCATGGATCACCGGGAGGTGCGAGTAGAGAGTTCTGAGGACACTGCTGGGGCGGGGGCTGCGGGGGGAGGCCATGGCTTGGGCAGGCTGCCCCAAAGTCCAGCTTCTTAGGTCAGAGCTCTGCTGCCCATCCCGCAATGGTCTTGCTAGGGAGTGCCCAGGCATCCTGGCTTCACAGAGCCTCCCTCTGGGGGCCCCCCTGGCCTTGCTGCTGTCCATCTGTCTGTGTGGACCCCAGAGGCCAGCAGAGGGGCCAGTCCTCCTCGGCAGGTCCCTCTGGCTTGGCTGCTTTTCCTGGGACTCCCCAAAAAGCCAGTCCAGGGGGTCCACAGCATCAGCCGTGGGCAGTGTGGGCTGCTGGCCACTGAAACGTGCGGTGATGTCCCGCAGGGACACAGCAGGGCGGCCCTTCCGGGAGGCCTGGGCTGGCCTGTGGGGTGGCCTGGGTTGGCCCTGGGCCGTGGCCTTGTTCAGCACAGAGGTGGGTTGTGCCAGTCGAGATATGGATCTCACGTAGTCATCCAGGCTAGGAGAGGGCGGGGGCTCCTGCCCAGGACCCCCAAGCAGCATCTCCTCCGTGGTCTCCCGAATTGTGGGCAGATGGGCCACGGAGAGCAGAAGCCGGGACCTCATCACCCTGGCGAGAGGAGGCGGCAACCTGTTGGGAAACAGAGGCCAGGTGGTGAGGGCCTGCCATGCATCCCACCGCCCCTCAGTGTCCCCACACTCCTCTGGGGCTGCCTGTAGGAATCTGGTGCCCTGAGAGCAGTTCGAAGTCTACAGAGCCCAGACCAGAGCTCGGACTCCTGGGCTCTTTCTTCCTGTTTAAGTTGAAAACCCAAAGGCTTAAGATTTTATCCTTATTGTTTCAGAATGTGCACAGATAAGAGAAACCAACCTAACAAACACTGGTCAGAGGAAAGCTGGGTTTAAAACCAGGATCGGCCACACACCTTGGGACCTTTGGCAAGGCCACCTCTCCAGGCCTCCACTTACCCATCCGTAAAACAGGGTTATAAATACCCCTGGCAGGGATGTTGTAGGAAACACAGGAAATAACCCCTGAATCCCTTTGTAAATGCAAAGCCCTCTACAGACAGCCCTCTTCTCTAACCCACAGGGAGGCTGTGCAAGTTCAGGCTGGGAATTGCCCTCAAACATAAACAAAGTCCTTGTGTTTTGTCTCAAACCCAAGGGCAGCTGCTCCCTCTTACCTGGAGCTGAGAAGGTCTGGGGGTGGCAGGAGAATGGATGAGCAGGGACAGTCCAGTCCAAAGGAAGCCCCTGGGAAGCTTGGAGGCCAAAGGGTGGAGGGTCCGGCAGGGGGTCCAGGGTGGAGTCGCTGGGAGGAGGACGGTGCACTGAGTCTCAGAGAAAACCGTGCCAGACTCTTCCCTGAGCTGTCTGAAGATCTTCGGCAGGCAGCTGCTTTTATACCTTCCCACCAGCTATCAATCACTGTCACGAGGACCAAAAATAGCCTGCTCAGGAAGGCTCTCTTAGGAAAACAGCTTGGAGGGCGGGGCCTGGCCCAGCTGCCTGCTTGGAGGTGTTTTTCTGCCAGTAGGAGGCTGGGGAATGTTTACGCTGCAGGGCAGGAAAGGGGTGGGTGCACTGCTGGTCACCTAGGGGCACTGGGAGAGGGAGGGGTTCCACTGGGCCCTCACAGGTAGCCCCAGGGCCACCCCTGCCCCAAAGCTTGTTTCCCACTCTGTATTACACCAGCCCATCATGACTCCTGTGAAGTTGGGCCAGGTCCTCGGCAACTTTGATGAAAAATCAGCAGCAAAGGACCCCAGCCTGGAGGCAGCTGAGGCTGGGTCCCTAGGCCTGCTCTTAGGAGAGACACACCCTGCTCCCAAGGGACCAAGAGCAGTCTGCGGGGTCTGACCCTGGTCTTCTTACACCCCAGATGGGGTGCTTTCTGAGGATTTGTTTACTTGTTCACCAGATGTGAGGTGCTACTGTGTGCTGTGACTGCACACACAGGTGTGGCCCCCTGGAGCTCATATTCTAGTAATGGAGGAGATAGAGCCAGAGATGAATGGGTGCTGTGATTCAGGCAACAGCAAGAGCTGCCTGAAGGAAAAGCACAGCAGCACAGTGGGACGCTGTGGTAGGCTGCCGCCACAGGAACAGTGGTCAGGGGTGTCTTCCCTCAGAGCAGATATTGAAGCAGAAACCTGAAAAAAATGGGAAAATGCACATTCCAGGTGGCGGGGGCAGCACGTGCAAAGTCCCTGTGGTGAGGTGCTCCAGATGGACATGCTCAGGGCACAGCAAGGTGCCTGCAGACTGGCCCATGTAGGAGGGGGTCAGTGAACCTTGGCGTGGATGCTGTGTTTCCCTCCAAGAGGGAGGCAAAGACACTGCAGGGTTTGAACAAGGGCACTGCAGTCTGGCTTCTGCTTCAAAGGATCGCTCTGGTTGCTGGGCCTGGGCTGGGGCTGGGGGGCTGCCAAGGAGCATACCTAGGCAGCATTAGAAAGCCACCGCCTCTGTCCAGGAGTGACCATGCCAGCAAAGGAGGCTGCCAAGGACGAGGGAGGCAGTCCCTGGGAAGCTCCTGCACTCCCCCGACAGGCCACAGATCCTCTGCCCCAGCCACAGTCCCACCTGGAACACGCCTGCCTGTGCTACAGGTGGGGGAGAAAGAGGAGTCCCCCAGAGGTAGCCTAAGCCTGAGCTCTCAGTACTGGGCAGACCCCAGACTCCCTAGGCAAGCAAGAGGAACTGGCAGTCCCAAGTTCTTGAATTCTAGGTGGGAACTCCACGCGCACAAAGGCATCGGAGCAGGGAGTGCCTGAGACAGTGAACAGGATTTCAGTGGCACATGGCACTTCTCACCTTGCCCAAACTCTTATATCTTTTGTAGACCCTTTGTCTAGTTCGCTGGCTCTTCTTTGAATTTATTAGCAATGAGCAGATTAGTCAAGAGACTAAAAGGAGGGAGACGGAGAATTTGCTGCTGGCTGATAGGCCAAGATGCGGCCAAGCTGGGGGAGGGTGAACCGTGGTGGGCGGCAGTGTTGGGGGCATACACGTCACCTGTGCGTGGGTGGCTGGCCTGAGTCATGGCTAGCCAGCCTGTCCCCAGTACAACCAAGCCCCCGACCTTGTCCAGGCAGGTCCTGCTCAGCTTTCCTCCCTGTCCTCCCTCACTGGTCTTCCAGAGTGCAGTGCACAAGCACCCTCTCCAGGAAGCTCCATTGCATCTCCTTCTGCGTCCTGAGCCCCTCGTGGCTGGGGCTGTGTCTCCTCCATCTCCCTCTGCCTGGAGTCCAGGGTGGGGCTGGAGGACAGTGGGTCTCCACGAGTGAGCCATCCCCACAAGCTGTCTCCACTGAGAGGCACCCGAGACCAAGAGGCAAGAACAGAACCCGCCGTAGACCTTTGAACTCCATAGATCCGTGCTGGCCTCTCCTTCATAGGGAGCTCAGTGACACATCTATGCTTGTAGAGCACCAGCGAGTATCAAAAACAGCTCTGGTTTCTGCTTGTTTGTTTTCCTTTTTAGCGGATAATGAAAGGTCGTATCTGGAAGCTGTGTGTGTTTTTGATAACCTTTGGATACACTGTTTTCTCTGTGGATGGCAGGATGTTTGAACCCAGAAACCCCATTGCTAACTTACCATGAAATCCACATTGTGCAGGGTCTTCCTGAGTGCTGCCAGGGATACGAAGAAGTTTCCATGGCATCCCTGTTCTCACGGGGCTTTTAGTGCCAACGAGGAGAGAGAAATGGGATTTGTGAATCTAAAATATGGGTCAGAAATACTGCATGATTCCTTTATATAAGGAATCTAAAATAGGCTCATAGAGGCAGAGAGTAAAAATGGTGGTTGCAGGGCCTGGGGCAGGGGAGGAGGAAGTGGGGAGTTGCTGTGCAGCTGATATAACGTTTCAGCTATGCAAGATGAGTAAGTCCTGGACATGGGCTGGGCAACATTGTGCCTACAGTGAACAATACAGTATTGTGCACTTAACAGTTTGTTTAGAGGGTAGTTCTTATGTTATATGTCCTTACCACAATAAAACATAAATAAATAAGAAAATTAAATGTTGATTGAGATGGCAATGGGAGAATGATATTCCAAGTTAGTTGTGGAAAGACTAGCGTCAGAGCACATTAGGAGTGCGTAGCTTCAAGACCGCGGCTCTGGGTAGAGGGCAGCCGAGGTTGCTGGCAAGAATTCTGGCAAATGACTCAGCTTGGCCAGGCTTACGCACAGAGTGACTGGGATTGGCACAGAGGCCTGGCGTGGTCTCGCAGAGACAGAGGCCTGGAATAGGTCAGAGGCACTGAATCAAGGGCCCAAGAGGTGCCAACCAGCACTAGCAAGGTGCCTGCAGAGGACTCTGTTGATTAGGGCCCCAGGTTGGCAGCAGGAGAGGAACCATGTCATCTGCAGACCTAGGGACACTGAGGCAGGTTGGGGACATGGCATGAAGGCTGTTGTAGAAATTCTGGCATGGGATATAAGGTTAGTGATGTCTAAGCAGTGGTGAGAAAAGCAAGCCTCTCTGTCAGCCCTGGCAAGTCGACGCTGCTGCTTTCGGGAGGCACCAGGAGAAGGGTGAGGCTGAGACACAGCTAGGACAGAGAGTGCCCACTTCTGCTGTGGTGGGCGTGGGACCCTGCAGGGCCTGGTGGCACAGGAACTGGTGGCACAGGACCCCCCTCCCAGGTGCAGTGTGGGCAGAGAGGTCCCCTGCTTGGCACGAGCAGACCGACTGTGCGTTCCTGGAACCGCTTCCTCACTGCAGTGTGGACGTGTCTGCCGGCCAGCAGCTGGGTTCCTGTGGGATACCTGACTCAGCCCACTGCGTTCCGGGCTGTGTCCCTGGCCAGGCATGAGCTGAGCACATCTCAGGCTTCCTCCCACAGGGCCTGGTCACATGCCTCAGGACACGTAGTGGTTGATGGTCCTTCCCGAGGGGATGGGGCCACTCAGGAGGAGGGATGTGCAAGGCCTAAGTGTCCAGAGCATCCCATCCCTAGGGGGCACAGGGAAGGTGGGCAGCTGCTTTGGGGGAAGGGCTGATGTGTGTACCCCCACAGGAAGAAGGGACTCTGATCATCGAGGGGCTCCTCAACATTGCCTGGGGGCTGAGGCGGCCCATCCGACTGCAGATGCAGGATGACCGGGAGCAGGTGCACCTCTCCTCCACCTCATGGATGCCTAGACGGCCCAACTGCCCTCCGTGAGTACCCGGTGGCTTCTGTGACACCTGCTCAGCCCAAGCTCCCTGTTTGGGGTGTGGGTTGGGGATATCCCGAGCCTCAGGGTGGGAGCCCTGTTCCCTTATGGGACACTGGCATGAGAGGGTGAACCAGCCTCATCGCCATGCCCCGTGACTGCCTCAGTCCACAGCCTCACCCACAGTGGCCTCTCCCTCCCTCCTGGAGAATGTTCCAGGCTCCCATGACCTCCATTTCTGTTTCTCAAACTTCCTCCAAGCCACCTTGCTGGCAAGAAGGGACGACTACAGCCAGCAGGGCTCCCAGCACCTGTGCAAGCTGAACATGTCTTGCCGTCTCTTGTTCTATCTTAAAAATGCACACAAATTTAGCCTCTTACTACTCTGTTTTCATTTTAATGTCAAAATTTTTAAAATAAATTTGTCAGAATTTCACATTAGATTTGTTTAATATCAGAAAAATGTTTCCGTCAGGAGGAAATGGTCTCCTGCCTGCCTTACTGTTTAATGCACATTTATCTCCTCCTCAGCCCACTCCCAAAAGACGCAGTTAGTAGCTGGGCCTTGCCTGCTTCTCCAGTAATAACTCCTGTAGAGAGCACACATTCAGAGCTTTGCCCCCTTCAGATTTCACATAAAACCCATGCTGTGACAGCACTCACCACCCTGACAGCCCTGGCACATCCCTAGGTGTCCCGTCACTCAGCGAATTCTGAGCCACACAGAATTAGATCATAAAGTCAGACTCCTTAGGAAGGCTGCAAGTGTGACTCACATGTGCCCCTCCTTGAGGTACAAGCAGTCACAGACAGCAGTCGCGGCTGGTGCCCATGTGTTCTCCAGGATCCCATCTGTCTTCTCCTCCCCAGGTCCCCCGGGCTGCACGACTCTGTCCCATCATACTCACTCCTTCTCCAGCCCAGCACTGGCTGCCCTGGCCTGGGGTTCATCCTGCTAAGAGGCCTGGAGGTTGGGCCCTTCTAGGTGGCCCCTGCCTGACACCCCACCAGGCCTTTGGGAAGCCCAGTGAGCCCGTTTGGCACACAGCTGCTGGCCTGGCTAAGCCTGATGCCTAGGAATGTGCAGGCCCTGACTGCGTTCATGCATCCATGTGTCTGCGTGATGCAGTCCAGCACAAGCCCTCAGGCCAGGCTCACTTCCGTCCAGCAGATGCTGGTGGAGGCCTCTGCTTTTCCTTTATTGTTTCAGACTGAAATCTCGGTTTGAAATCCAGGCCTCACCTCAGCCTGCCGTGCTTCCCGCCTGTGTCCTGCCCCAGGGGCTGCTGGTCTCTTCTCCTTGGCCTGAGCTCCCTTTCTCTGCCAGCAGCCATCTCAGCACCGCAGTTGTCTCTTTTCAGAAAGGAGCCATCGCCCCAGGACGGGAACATCACAGCCCAGGGGCCAAGCACTCAGCCAGTGCACAAGGCTGAGAGTTCTACAGACAGCTCGGGTAAGCAGAGCCCACGAGCTGCCCAGACCCCTGCCTCATCCAGGGTAGGAGCAGAGGGGCTTGGCTCACAACCACAGTCTCCAAAGGACAGCTTTGTGTCCCAGCAAAAGAGGGGCTTCCCCTGCTGGACCCCTACCCAGGTGCCTGCCTCTGAGGCGCTCTGCCCTCATTCTCGCTCCTCTTTATGGAAAAGTGAGCAGAGGTTTGGGAGGTGACAGTGTAGGGGTGGCCTGAGTCCCCTGCCCTATGTGTGCTATGGGAAAGGAACATCCACAGAGAGCACTGCACCCTCCTTGCCCCTCGCCTCCCTCTGGGACCTCGTCCTCATCCTCTGTACCTGCTCATGCATCCTCTTTGTGCCCCTTCCCTTAGCACTCTGAAGGGCCTGTTTCAGAGCAGGGGCTCAGAAGACAGGGCTGGGGCCACCAAAGACCTCCGTGGGCACCCTAAGATAGAGACCAAGAGGGGTATGGCCATATGACATTGTGTCCCAGGATACCCTGTCTGGGTCTCACCTTCCTATCTGCAAGCTGGGAGTATCCAGCCTCCAGTCCAGGAATGGCCCTCACGTCCCCATCTACCCCAATGCACATGACCACAGAGCTCTAGGGAGCCAGACCTCCTGACAGCAGGCAGTTGCTCTGTCAGCATCACCCACCCTGCCATTCTCTCATCCATTTCTCATGCAGGGCCCCTGGAGGAGGCAGAGGAGGCCCCCCAGCTGATGCGGACCAAGAGCGACGCCAGCTGCATAAGCCAGAGGAGGCCCAAATGCCGTGCCCCCGGTGAGGCCCAGCGCATCCGGCGACACCGGTTCTCTATCAATGGCCACTTCTACAATCATAAGGTGATGCCCCAGCCTGGTCTGTCCCCTGGGTACATGGGGAGCCAGCCCTGAGCACAGGCACAGCAAGCACCATGACCTGTATAGGGGCTGCTGGCATTCCTGTGCCCTCAGGAGGAAAAACCTCCTGCCAGATTGCATCCACATAACAGCCCCGTTTGTGACCTATGCATTTTCCAGCACATTCTCGCTGTCAGTCCATCCTCATAAGTCACACGGATTTCTGGCAAGTAAGCGAAGATGCCCTGGGCAGACAGTAACGCTGAACGTATCTTCAACAAGGGCGCTTTCTAGGAGGCTTCCCCCCGAACGTGATTGGTTGATCCCTGGGAACACTGTGTATCGAGCCATCACTCACACTGAATAATTAAGCAGGGGTGTGCCCAGGGCACGTGTGTCTGTGCCCCAGAGAACCTGGACGACCCCAGATTCCCACCATGCAGCCTTTTGTCTAAGGATGCATTGTACTGACCTCAGGAAAAGCTTTCCTTCCCCAAATTACATCATTCTATAAACAAACTGAACTGTAACAGGATAAGTTGATTGTTACTATAAATAGAATGGTTGGCTGTCTGGGCAAGGCCCTGGATGGAGCGTCCTGTGACAAGCCACATACTACCCGCATCACTGGGAAATGCAAACTGAGATTTCCAGTTGAAGCAGCTGCCCTTCTTGATAGAGGATGACTTATGGCAGAGAGGGGGCCCAGGGGGAGGGTCTCAGGGTCCAATCTGAAGGAGCAGGTGTCCCAGGTTAGGCCATCCAGGGACCATTCAAGCCACACTTGGGGTGCCCTGGACTTTGGAATGAAGCCGAATTCTGCTGGGCAAGCTGAAGGGACCCTGCTTTAATCTCAGGATCTCCCTTCCATCCCCTGCTAGGCTTGTGGTGAGTGAATGAATGACAATAGGGTTGCCTTTGCTAAGTCCAGAAAAATCCAGGACTATTCCAAAGTAGAGTTTCCTGAGAGAGTAAAGGGGACCCAGGGTTGAAGTTAGGCAAAGATTAACAATGGTGTAGATTAGCCCAAGGACACATAACATGACTTGAGTATTCTTTAAATCTTGTTCCAAAAGGGGTTTAGTGTGTAATGTGTTGAGTACGCATTGTTAGCATTCAAATAAAGATTGATATGCTAGTTTAAGGAATTACTCAAAAATTTTCCAAAATATATGCATAGTTTAGGTATTTTCCAGTTCTATGTTCCTTACCGAAAAAAAGCCAGGCAGGGGGGATTCTTTTGCTCCCCTGAATGGTGGGGTTTAGCTTTGGTACATTCGTTTCTCCTCGAAGGGTCTCATTCATCACTAAGAAGTGTGTCTGGCACAGTAAACCTTATTGTAGTGATTGCCAGTGTCATAGGAACACCATGTCCTAAGCACTCTGCAGCCTTTGAAATGAACAGTGAGGGTTTTCATCACATCCTCTCATTTCCGTCTGAACCACACTATCAGGAAGAGCTACTCAGCCAGACGACACGGGGTCTCGGCCTGTCACCCAGTGAGGGCAGTTTTTCCTCCTAGTGACAGATTTGCCTATGGAATGTGAATCCATTCTTCCAGAAAAAAGTACTGCTTTCAAGGACAGGGAATAATATCGTAAGCATTTGGGACACCAGCTCCCCCATCTTCTGGGTGAGTAAGGGGAGTCCCAAAGAAAATCACTGTACAAGAAGCCCTTTGTCACTACGCTCAACATCCATAGAGAACTAATGTCCTTAGAAATTAGGACACAGATTCCTTGAGTCAGAGGCAACAATTGAAAAATAAATAATTCCTAGCATTGAATTTCTGAGATAGTTCCAGGTTTTGTTTCTTAGAACTGTGCACTATTACTTCACTCGGTCATTTTCCAAAACTGTTGTGATTCCCAGAAATGTTGGTTTTATTTCCAGACTGGGTAAAACTTTGTAGCTCTTTCTACTGCCTGATCTGTTGGATTCCAATGCATTTTGTTAGAGAGAAACCATTTGTGGTTAGAGATGAGAAAGTAGCCACGGGGCCTTTTTTCCTACTTGAAGTTGGTTGGTATCACCTTGAGAAAAGGCTTTATGCAGAAGAAACACAGTGTCTTGTTAACAAGAATTTTTGTCTTTTTGAAATAGCCTAACTCCTCTCTTCCATATTTCTTTCTTTTCTTTTCTTTCTTTCTTTTTTCTTTTCTTTTTTTTTTTTGAGATGGAGTGTCACTCTGTAGCCCAGGCTGGTGCAGTGGCATGATCTTGGCTCACTGCAACCTCCACCTCCCAGATTCAAGCGATTCTTTTGCCTCCTGAGTAGCTGGGACTACAGGTGTGCACCATCATGCCTGGCCAATTTTTGTATTTTTTGTAGAGATGGGGTTTCACCATATTGGCCAGGCTGGTCTCGACCTCCTGACCTCGTGATCCTCCCACCTTGGCCTCCCAAAGTGCTGGGATTACAGGCATGAACCACTGCACCTGGCCCTCTCTTCCATATTTCTTTGGACAAGAAGGCCTAATCCCAGTCCTGGCTTTCTGTGTAACTGAGTCACTCTGCACCTCAACTAGAATCAAGCCAGGGGAAGCAAATCAAGGTTGAGTCTCTGGCACAGCATGCTTCATTTTATTGTGCTTCTTGTTACTGTACCTCGCAGACTGTTACAGATGGAAGGTGTAAACAGCTGCATTTTTTTTTTTTTTTTTTTACTACACCCGCGTTTTCTGCAAATTGAAGGTGTGCGGCAACCCTGTGTTGGACAAGTCTGTCGGTGCCGTTTTCCAACAGCATGTGTTCACTTTGTGTCTCTGTGTCAGATTTTTTAGCAATAAAGTAGTTTTAATTAAGGCATGCATATTTTTGAGATGTAATACTATCTCACCCTTAAGAAACTACAGTATAGTATAAACATATCTTGTATATGCCCTGGGAAACCAAAACATTTGTGTGACTCACTTTATTGAGATGTTCGCTTCATTGTGATAGTCTGGACCTGAACTCACAATGGCTCCCAGATGTGCCTGTACTTATCAGAGCAGGGACCAGTGGGGGATACTGAATAGGTCCTTGAGCTCTCTGAGCCTCAGCTACCTCCTTGGGAAAACAGAGCTAGGATCTCAGAGGAGGAATATGTGAATCTAAACTTGAGTTTGAAAAGCAAGGGGAGGTTCACCTGCGGAGAAGTCACATTCGCTGGGAGGCACCAGCACCAAGGGGGTAACATGTAGGTTTTCAGGAATCATGGAATCCTTTGAGTCAGGGCTCTGTCTTTTCTAGATGAGTGACTCTGAACAAGCTGGGTAGCCTCCTAAAGCCTATGATTCCTTTCTAAGAAAAGGGAACTGGTTATAGGTGCCTCAAAGGGTTGTTATGAATGTTAAATCAATGATTGTATGTAAAATCTTGGGTTCAGTACACAGCTAGCGTTTATTGAGGACCGACCTATTTCCTTATGTGTCAGGCAGAGTCCTGGTTGATTTCATATATGGTGTCTCTTAGGCAAAGGCAAGATACCTGCAAAATATAATGTGCCCCCGCTGCCCCCCAGCCAGATTGTGAAGAAGCTCTATGACTGGAGCACAGGGTGCTTGTTAGGCAACCATAGTGTCATACGCACATGGCAATGAGAAGAACTACAGATGATATTGCACAGGCCCCAGGAAGCCTTCAGATACTTTTAGATCCATGCTTTCAAACAATGCTTCTCACATTAAACTGTACAGATTGCTTGGCCTTGTGTTCTACAAATGCGAACTCCGATTCAGGTGGTGTGGAGCAGGGTAGGGAAGGGAGCCGAGACGGTATGGATGCAGCTGGGCTAGACCTCACTTGGAGGTGCATGGGTTTTAGAAGTCTGTGCCTGTAGGCAAGCGGTGCAGAGTACAGATTAGAGGGACTGAGACCAGAAGGGAACAAACTGGGAAGCTGATGGGGTGTGACCAGTGCCTCTACTAGGCACCGCTGGGAGAATGAAGAGGAGGGTACAGACTGGGGAACTTTCAACCTTAGAATCAACAGACACCTGGTGACTTGATCAGTAGAGTGAAGGAGAGACTGGTTCCCCCACCCTTGTGAATGACTTCCATGGTCCTGGTTCCTCGGGTCCAGAGAGCTTGCCCTTCTGGGTGTGTAGACATCTTCCTTAGGCTTCTGGAAGGCGTGCACTACTACAGCTTCCCGGAGTGTCCCCCAGGTCTGGGAACAGCTTGTGTGTGCATCAGCGTGAATGGACAGGCACAAGTGTTCCCAGCGTCACCTGCTGCCTGGGTCTGTTCACCATCGTGATGTCAGCCCCTTGTCCCTTCGGGGCCTGCCCTGAACTTCTCTCCCTTCCTGGTACAGACCTCCGTGTTTACTCCGGCCTATGGGTCCGTGACCAATGTGAGGGTCAACAGCACCATGACAACCCTGCAGGTGCTCACCCTGCTGCTGAACAAATTTAGGGTAAGCCTGGCCAGGAGCGGCCTTGCCCCAGGATGCCAGTGATTTGCTGTTCTGTTGGGGGTGGAGTTCTGGGGAAAGTTGCCCGTGGCTCCTGGGCAGAAGGTTTAGCAAGAGTCCCTCTGCTGAGCTTTTGTCTTTCGGATTTCAAGCAAGAGAGGGTTGGGAGAGGGCAGGTTCCTTGTGGCTTGTCTGTGTGTTACTGGGGGTGTAGTTACTGTCAGGGGATCCTCTCAGTTCTCTCCCATCTCAAAGCACTGTGATCTGACTTCCTGTGACTGCCCATGTAGGTGGAAGACGGCCCCAGTGAGTTCGCACTCTACATCGTTCATGAGTCTGGGGGTAAGTACCTGCCCCACTTCTGGATCATAAAAGCAAAAGGTCTCTGCCTGTTCAGCAAGCCCCCTCCCCACCAACCACCGACTGTACTCCCTCCCAGATGGGCTCTGGGCTGGCTTGCCTAGTGGGCTGGGGCACACTGTGCCTCCCAGTATGAATATTTCTCCCCCACCCAAAGCCGGGCACACTATGGAAGCCTTAAGAAAAAGAAAACATACTTTTGGCTTCAAATTTAAAGCACATTAAAATGTTCTTGGATTTTCTAGGTCGCTCAGTACATTAAGTTTAATTCTTTCAGGATTCTGAAGGAGAATCCCACCAAGCTGTAGGAAGCCTCCCTCTCCGCCTCTTCCAGTAAATGGATGGGTCCCTAGCTCATTGGGGCTGAGTCAGGAAGGGTAGGGTGTGTGTCACAGTGCATCAGGCCCTGGCTCTCCCATCTCAGCTGTTCTTTCTCCCACCCCCTCAGATCTTGTTTCTCTTCAAGCTGCACCTTTGCGGAATGACACTGTAGGGGAGGAAAAATATCTTTTCCTTCTACCCATTTAGGTTCATTGGCTGAGGCCCTGTATTTAGATTAACAAAAGCCAGATTAAGGAGAACAGACAGAAGTTTGTTAACACTTGCATCATGCATGCCCTTTGGAATATCCAGGGATGAGTGGCTAGAATTTGGGCTTAAATAGCATATTCACAAAAGAGCAGTAAGTTTTTAGGGAAGTGACAGGACAGAGCAGAAGCGCCTGAGTTTCTGGGGAGGCGAAGGGCCGGAAGGTCACTGCATGGGGAGCTGTCGTCCCACGGAAAGGCTTCACTGGGACATGCTGTGCAGGTTCCTCTGGTGCCCTCTCCAGACTGAGGAGGGGCTCAGGTTGTCTCTGGTGATTAACTCCATCCTTCCCTGGAGAGGGGCAGGGGCACACCTTGACAAATTTATGTCCTGCTTTTCGGCAAATAGGGGAGGGCAAAGAGCCTCACTTGCATCTTCTTCTTCTCAATTGCCAGCTGCTCCACTTAATCCTTATGCCAAAGTGGCAGATTTGGGGGCCCTGTTCTGCCTTCCTTCAGCATGAGCAGGGATCTCTCAGGGCAGTGCTATTAGAGAGGTCTGTGTTCTTAGGGTTCCCTTCGCCCCTAGACGTGCATTTTCTATCAGTTCTTAATCTGGAACAGAGAGAGGTGACTAATCTGCCGTGATTTTTGTAAACCATCTTCTTTTTCAGAGCGGACAAAATTAAAAGACTGCGAGTACCCACTGATTTCCAGAATCCTGCATGGGCCGTGTGAGAAGATCGCCAGGATGTTCCTCATGGAAGCTGACTTGGGCGTGGAAGTCCCCCATGACGTGAGTGGGGGCTGAGGCTAGGGAGGCCTGCTCTAGGGTGAGGGGCTCTTGGGTGACGAGGCCTACCGAGGACTCCTGGCCAGAGCCCTCTCAGGTGATGGCTCCAGGAGCTCCATACCCTCCCGAAGGGCTCCCAGCCCAGCACAGGGAGGCACCAGCCCTCCCTCTCCCATCAGTGACCGCCAGCGCCAACAGCTTAGGGAAAAGAAGAATTTGGGTCCTATAAAACCATGGCCCTGTCCTTTTCCTTTCAGGGAAGTAAAGTCTTTTCCTTTATTGGAATGTATTTTGTTGTCATTATGTGAGAGACCTATGCAAAGGGTTTTTAACTAGGCCCTACCTTGCACCTGTGGAAGACAGGGAGCTATTTAAGTCTTACCAATAGCCTGAGTTCTGACTAGACAGTGAGTGCATTTCCAAACTCCTCTGCTTAGAAGACGCCTACAGGGTTTGAACCTCAGGTAGGAGGCCCAGTGACCCCATATCCCTCAGGCTGCTGCAGTTGCATTCCATTGTTAGAAACAATGGTGCTCCCACCTCCCTACCCACCAGCCCAGAGGGCACCCAGTGGGACAAGGCTGCTGTACTGAATGCTCTTCCTAATATTCAGTTTAATATTTCCTCCCAGGGATAACAGTTGCCTTTGAGATAATAATAGGCTCCTGTCCTGGCATCTGTACACAACCCAGCAGTGTGGGGGTGGGGTGGGAAAAGCGGCAGCTCCTTCCATGGATACAAGATGTTGGCTGGATGGGCCACTGTGGAAGCCTTGAGGAAAAAAAAAACATACTTTTGGCTTCGAATTTAAAGCACATTAAAATGTTCTTGGATTTTCTAGGTCGCTCAGTACATTAAGTTTGAAATGCCGGTGCTGGACAGTTTTGTTGAAAAATTAAAAGAAGAGGAAGAAAGAGAAATAATCAAACTGACCATGAAGTAAGCAGCACTGAAACAGCCAGTCATGAGTCCTGAACATCAGGGCAGGTCTGCAAGGCACAGCACCAGTGCCAGCTGGGAGATCTCTCTCCTCCATGGGCACCGGTGCCCTGGCATGGGAAGGCCTGCTAACCCTGGCTCTCTGGCATCGTCCTCTGGCCCCCTGCTTGGTATTGCCACCACGCTGGGGTGACAGCTTGCCAAAATGGTGGGACGCAGCCCTGATCACCCATCCAGCCTTGGCATCCTCACCAGCATAGGCATGAGCTGCAGAACACCTGGCAGGAGACTCAGGCAGGAACCCAGGTGGGCGCTGGGTCAAGCTTCTGAGGTCTGCTAGTGATGCAGCTCCAAGGAGCAGGCATGCTGAGGCAGACTTGGCCTGGTCGGGGCCTTTCGTCCTAGTGGGAATTCTGAGCCTTCTCCAAAGTGGCAGATGTTGGAACTCCCAGCCTCAGCTGATGTTTTCAGGTGCAGAGGGCCAGTTCAATGAAAAGGTGAGCAGGTGTCACCTGCCAGCTCCTGGGGACACCACACCAGGGTCCGGCTGCATGAGGTTAGCCAGGCTGTAGTCCCACTGGCGTCTCCCCCTCAGCAAAGTGAACTGTGGTGCAAGACTTGTGGAGGGCACCCCACCCAGGGCTGGCAGGGAGGCAGCTAGGAAGGAAAGGGCAGGAGCTCACTGAGAGGGCCTGGGGTGGGTGGGAAAAGGATGGATATTAGCTTCTGGTTGAATGGCCCACAGAAAGCCACATCCTCCACAGGCTCCTGTCTGTGCAGCCAGACCCCACACAGACAGAGGAGACCAAAGTCAGAGGGAATCTTCCACTCTGCAATCGGTCCTGACCCTGTAGGATTTGAGAGCTGAAAGGGATCTGGGGGTCAACTAGTGGGTCCACTTAACGTACAGAGTGGACACTGAGGCCCAGCACAAGGAAGGTTGCCGCACAGCTTACGGCATAATCTGGGCTGAAACATGGGCTTCCTGATCTCTGCCCTACTGCCCTGTCCACTCCACTGTGCTGTTGTCTGTATTAGAGTCTTTGCAATAGAAATGACAACACTCCGCTTTGATGCTCTGTGCAGTCCGCAGCCCGGTTTCACTGCTCCTCATGAGACGCAGGCCACAGCCTTCCCTCTCTCTGGCAGAGGAGAGATGAGGCTGCTGCAGGGATCTCCTGAGCTGCCCATCTGCAGGTCCCTCGCTCTGCTGCCCACCTCCCTGCCCTGTCCAGCCTCAGTGAGTCCTCTTGGCGATGTCTCCCTCCAGGTTCCAAGCCCTGCGTCTGACGATGCTGCAGCGCCTGGAGCAGCTGGTGGAGGCCAAGTAACTGGCCAACACCTGCCTCTTCCAAAGTCCCCAGCAGTGGCAGGTGCACACTGAGCCCTGGTGGCTGGCCCCGGCTGGTCACATTGACTGATGGCCACTGCCTGAGGAATGGAGCGCCTGTGCGTCTACCTGTCTGAAGCCTGAGCACCATGATTCCCACAGCCAGCTCTTGGCTCCAAGATGAGCACCCACAGGAAGCCGACCGAGGCCTGTGGGGCTAGGAACTTGCTGGGTCAGATCTGTGTGGCCAGCGCTGTCCACACCATGCCTTTCCTGCACTGGAGAGCAGTGCTTGCCCAGCCCCTGCGGCTTTAGCTTCATCCGCTTGCTCAGTGGCTGTCCCGGAGACCCTGTGGATCCACAAGCCCCTGTCCTCTTCCTTCATGTGAAATTCTTGTCTGCCCTCATATCATGCTGCCCCGCAGGAACACTGTTGGGAAAAGCAGGGCCTGCCAGCAGGTATGAGATCTAGCCTGCTTTCAGCCATCACCTCACCACAGCGTCCCCGGCTTCTAAGCCTCCAATGTCACCCTGTGAGTCTGGCACAGCTCAGCCCCAGCACAGAGGTAAGACCAGGAATAAGGCCACAAGTATCTCACTTTCTCTGCAGAAATCAGTCTTTACTTCATCAGAGAGACCTAAAGGGATTCTTAGAAGGAGCTTGCTGCAAGAAACACGGCCATTCAGTCACATTGACGAGGGTCCACATGGCATTGAGAGGTTGCTGCCCTGTGTGGATGAGAGTCCACGGCTGCCCAGCAGCAGCTCCGGAAGGCAGTGTTCAGCCCCATCACCACTGTCCAGTGGGTGCCTGTATACCTCTTGCCTTTTCTGGGCTTGTGTTTCTCTCTTCTAGTGGGTGGGGATGACTTTCAATACTTCCCCGGAAGGAAGAATGATAAGGAGAAATGTCTGTTTTGAGGAAAGGGCTTTGAATTCCCTAGGGCCAGATACTGAACAATTTGTGTGTGTGACTGATGGAGAATTTCAGGAATGAATGAGACAGCCTTTGCGAAACTATGCAACAGTTTACATCAGTCATGTGAAGTATTTGTCTAAAACAGAGCAAACTGAAGACCAAATTAGTCTCCTGTTGAGGTCCATGGATGGCCGATTTAAAGGGAAGAACCACAAAGGCTTGCAAAGATAGGAGAAGCTCCATCTCTAAAGCATGTAGAAGCTCCTTACAGGTGCCCATCAAGAGCAGAGCTTGGAAGCCACCATGCTGTGCGGAACTGTTTGTCAGGGCAAATGTCACAGCAGGATTTCCCCAACCCAGCTCCATCATCACAGACACAGCTGCAGGGGAGGCCTGTTCACTGTTTTGGCGACTCTGCTCCTTTGGCAGCATAGATCCTTAGGTGCTCAATAAAGGCGTGCTGTATTGAACTGAAGAAGTGAGAACCAAGCTTTCTTTTTTTTTTCTTCTTTCTCTGCGTCTCCCCTGACTCCCTGCTCTAACTTCTGAAACTCTTATCCTAAACGATGTGTGGCAGAAGAGCCACAACTCGCTGCTCTAGGAGCCGACATGACTCCTTCATTTCTGTGCATGCCCTGAGGACTAGGGTGGTGCCTGAGGAGAAGCTGCCATGGAACATGCAGGTGTCACTGGTGGGAGCCTACAGTGACCTGGATGATGAGCAATAGAGTCACCCTGAGCCACAGAATCTTAGCATCAGGAGGGCCCCAAGAATCTTCCAGGCCAGGGGCTCAGGTGGGATGGAAGCAGGGCCTAGGAGAGGGTACAAAACAAATCAAACAGGACCTCCCAGGTAACTGCACTCCCAAGCTATTATTTACAACCTCAGGTGTAGGACAGCTCCTGTCCCATTGTTCAGCTGTAACTGAGTGACTGCCTTGTGCCAGGCCTGTGCTCAGCCCTGGAAGCACAAAGATGGAGCCAGTCTGTCCTGTGTCTAGGGGTCTCCTCATCAGGAGAAGGTGGCCAGACACTGGGAGGGTCAGGAGATAGCTGAGCAGTGAGCCGGCAAAGCTTCTGGGAGTGAGGTGAGGCCGAGGCAGAGTTGGCTAAGAAGTGCATGTGGTGTCACAGGTCAAGATGCACCTGCCAGCCAGGAGCAGGCCAGGTCCTGGCACACAGGAAGCCAGTGGAGCAGGAGACCCTCTCTAAGCACCAGCCTGTTTGGTTGGTTGGTTTGCTTTTGCAAGTTATTACAATATTACTTAAGACCTTTTTGGATAAGTGTCACTTTTAAGGTAGGTGTTATCAATCTAATTTCTGAACATTACGGGTCAGAAAAATCACTAGCAAGTGGCTCAGAAAAAGGGAAAAGGTACACTTCTGCAATCAGCTGAGGAGTTCACACCTTTTTTTTTTTTAATCAACATGATATTTGCTGTTCAGAGGCAATCTGAAAAGCTGCAAATTCAGCTCACCTCAACCCCACAATTTCAAAGGTTAGAGGCTGGTCTCTGTGGTTTCCTACTGGTTCCTGTGGGGAGCTCCCGCTTTCTTTCTCCATAGGGCTTAGGGTATTTCTCATATGCCCTGTTGGCTACCTAGTGTCTCAGGTAATAAACATATTCGAAGATAAAGCAAAGATCCCTATGGGAGAGTGTTGTCTCCTAAAATAGGACTGTCTTGCCAGCACAGGCCTCAAGAACCAGAGAGAATAATAAACAGCACAGTATGAAATCAGCATGATTGCAAAAGGACTGGACTCAGGAAAAACAAGTTTGTTTGCCCAGAACAAATTACCAGAAAGGATCAAAAACATCTTGTTTTTCCTCGGTGATAACCACATGCTACCTGCTTGGAATGTTTACCAGAAAATGGAATAAGACCTTCCCACTGGCAAAATAGAGCCAGGGTTCACCCAGGATACATCTGGCCCCTTAGTCCCATGGAAACAAGGCCCAAAGCATATCCAGTCTGACCAGATGATTTGTGGAGGAACCAGCAGTGCAAAATGTGTCCCTGGTGTGTAGAACGCAGGTGCCTTGCAGCTGCGGAGGGGCAGCAGGATATCCTTGCCAGGTGCAGTGGTGGGCAGCAGCCCCCTGCCCTCAGTTCCTCAGTGGTGATCAGACAGGAAGCTTGGTCAATCAGAGCCAAGCAACTGAGTATAAAAACAGCCAGATGCATGGGCTATATTTAGGCCCTGAGAGCTGCAATTGTTTGGGGTCAGGCTAGCTGCTCACATGCCCTGCCCGAGACTCATGTTGTGCAGGGTGGGGCCCTGTGCCCTCCTGGTCAACTTTTAACAGAGATGTTTTCTCAGACCTAGGAATGGGAATTCCCAGGATTTTCTTTCCCAGAGAGTCCAAAGGAAACAGAAAGCCAAGTCTCAGGCTTGGTGGAAAGAACCATTGTTCAGGATCCCTGGGCTGAGAGTTCTTCGTGGGAGACGGACCACTCTAATTACTGCACATGAGCCACACCTATAACTGCCTTTCTGGCACTTGAACTGGGGATCCATGTTGCCAAACACAGACCCAAGGCAGCAGTGGTCCCGGCCGAGACAGCGTATGTGTGTGTGTGTGTGTGTGTGTGTGTAAGCCAGTGGGGTGCAGGGGACAAAGACACAGGAAAATGAAACTGTCTTGCCAGGACTTTGCTCACCCCAGAAGACTCTTCTTCCTAGAATGAACCCTTCAAATACCACTGGGCTCAGGGGCACACTGGCCCCTGCTGGGTAGTTTCCCAGAGATGCCCCGGCCACTAAGGGATCTGGCCTCTCTTGGGCCAGAATCCCAGAAATATGTGCAGAACGATTCCCAGACTGTGTCCACCCCCTGGCTCCCACGCCCTTGTTCCCTTTCTCCCTTGTGTTTTGTAAATATCATGTGTGACCATTTTCAATAATTTGCATAAAAATTGCCTAGAATTCCATTTGGGAGATACACTGTTATAGAAAGGTTAATAGGCTCTGGAGCCAGACTTTCTGATTTCAAAGTCTGTCTTTGCCACTTATAAATGTGCATGACCTTGGGCGAGTTTCTTGCCTCAATTTTCTCATCTGTGAAATGGGGATTCTGTGTGGAAGAAAACAAACTCAAAGTGCTTTCTACTATTCTTTCACTCAGCAGCAATAATCACAAAAGACTTCTGTGATCAAATGGGGCGAGGGGTTCTCCCCACACACCAACCAAATAATAATTTCTGCAGAGACACCAGCTGGGTGTCCTCTAATTCAGTTTTGACACTATCTACTTGAAGATAGCATCACTTCTCATAGGTTGAGGGCTCAGTCCCATAAGGTGATCTCCACCCGTCCCATTAGTTACAAGCCCTGGCCTCTGGAACTTGTGAACTACCCACTTTAAGTTCGGATTCCTATGACCCCCTCCTTGGGTTAATTTGCAAGAGTGTTCACAGAACTCAGCGAAACACATTTCCTGGTTTATTACAAATGATATTCCAAAGGATACAGAAAAAGAAATGCATAGAGTGAGGTATGAAGAAAAGGGTGCAGAGCTTCCATGCCCCTTCCCCTTTGCACCCCCCAACCCCAGGTGTCACCCTCCAGTAACATCCATGTGTTCAAGTATCCAGAAGCTCTCTGAACCCAGTCCTTTTGGGACTTTTATGGAGACTTCGTAACATAGGCATGATTGATTAATTCATCAGCCATTGGCAATCCACTTCACCTTCAGTTGCCCTCCTCCCCAGATGTTGATAGGGTGGAGCTGAAATTGCCATCCTTTTATTCCTGCCGTGGTCTTTGCAGTGACCAGCCCCATCCTGAAGCTACCCAGGGGCTGCCAGGCATCAGTCAACTCATTAGCACATAAAACGACATCACTTTGGAGATTCTAAGAATTTTAGAAGTTGTATGTCAGGAAATGGGTAGAAGACCAACTATTTATTTCACAATATCACAGGATAATAACAATTCCTATCTCTTAAGGTTGGTGGAGGTACATTAGTCAACTTTAATGCAATAACAACACCAAGAATCTCAGTGTTACAAGAGCATTTGTTTCTCTAACGTTACGTGGGACTGTTGTAGCTACGTGTGAGCTTCTGTGGCTCTGGTCCATGTGTCTTATCATCCTGGGTCCTAGACTAAAGGGACAACCCCTACTTGGCACATGCTATTCTCAAGGCAGAGGGAAAGAGCAGAGTCCTGGCAGAAACACAATGACTCGAAGCTTCTTCTGGGATGTGGTGTACCCCTTGCATCCAGTCACATGCAGTCGGCCAATTGAAATCAGTGGTCAAGTCAACATCAGTGGGATGGGCATGTGGTTCACAAGGAGGCACCGGAGTCACACCACAAAGTGCAGGGACCAAAACCAGAGAAGGTGGAGCAAACTCTCAGGAACAATCATGCCTCAGGAATCTCACGTGAGATCCTCAAATGCTGCAAACAGTGTGCGGCACACAATAAGCACTCAGTAAGTGTTAACTATTATTATATTAATAGCTAAGCTGAAGGCATAAAACCCTACCTGCTTTCTCTCCTTGTCTTTTTCCCATTCTCCTTTACCCTCCTCTCCCTCATATCTTTCTCCGGCTCTCCGTCCTCTCCATCCTTACTGCCTAGGACTCTGTCCACACTTACAGACACACACCCCTTTATTTCCTGACTTTTATTTCTCTCTTTTTAAAAAATCCATCCTTGTTTACCTGATGCTTTAGTCGACATACCTCTGGGCCTTCTATGGCTGGCCCAGTTTTCAGGTATAGGAAAAAGGGATAATCCACCTGTATGTAGACAAGAAAAGAGTTAGTTTTAATTAGTAACTACCTTACTAACAAAATGGTTTTTTAAAATTATCTTTTTATTTTAATGTACATAGAGCAGACACTCCCAACAGGTCACGTTTGCTCCTGACACTTTTCCTAAACCATTTCTACATATCTGGCCATTACTCTTTACCCCCAAACCCTCCAACCACCAGCATCAACCAACTTATAATAATTTAATAATAAAAGTAACAGCAATGACTGTCATTTCTTCTGTGTTATACATTGTGCTAAGTGCCTTACATTATCTCATTTAATCACTGCAATAGTCCAGATACTCTCTAGATTGTGAGTGGAGCTTCTTTGTCCAGACCTCATTCAGCTTTGTGCTTTGCCATATGCAGAGACAGCTCCCTACAGAGCAGAAAGCCTCAGCTTAAGAGAATGAACCTGTGACTTAGTTTAGCCTCCACCAACAACCCACTGTATTACTTCAGGCAGGTCAGCCTCTCTTGCCTCAGTTTACTGATTTGCAAGACAGATATGATCATCTGTGCTTCATGATACTATGGTGAAGATGAATAACCAGAAGACAAGATGTAAAAGCACTTTGTAAACAATAAGGCATCTTATAAATTCATTCATTCAACAAATATTTACTGAGCGCCTGTTCCCTGCTGAGCACTGTTATTAGCACTGCAGACACAATAAAGAACTAAAGAGACAGATCATGACAGGCATCGTGTGCCACTGCAAGGCCCCTGACTTTGCTGTAATAAGTTGGGAAGTCTTTGAAGGTTTTGAACAAATGAATGACACGATCTGACTTAGGTTTAAGAGGATTACTCTGGGGCTGTGAATCGACTGTAGGGCAACCAGTCAGGAAGCCAGTATAATAATCCAGAAGGTGGATGAAGGTGGCTTGGTGGTTATAGCAGTGGAAGTGTTGAAAGTGGCTCGATAATGAATATATTTTAAACATGAAGCCAACAGAATTTGCCGATAAATCACAGGTGAGTTTTGGATGAAAAAAAGAAGCGACAACAATGACATCAAGGTTTTTGGCCTGAGCAACTGGAAAGATGATGGGATCTTCAACCATCCCTGGGAAGAAGACTGTTGCAAGAACAGGTTAGGTAGATATCAGGAATTCATTTTGGGGTATGTTAAGTTTGGGATGTCCATTACACATGCAAACGCAGTGCTCTTGAGTAATCATTTCGATATACAAGTCTAAAGTTCAATAACATTCACGTCCCACGGTCAGACTGGAGTTACCAATGCGGGAGTCTTCAGCATGCAGCAATAGCATTGGAAGCCAAGAGGTGGAGGAGTTCCCCACGGAGTGGGGGAACTCGGAGGTCAGCTGGTCAGATGACTGAGCACGGCCAGGATGGCTGAGGAGGAGCCTGGAAGGAAGAAGAACCAAGAGAGATCATTACTAATGAGCAACAAAAGGGGTGTGTTGAAATCAGACTTTGGAACCATAAAGAACCACTCCAATTCTGGCTCGTCCGCTTACACACGGTGAACGGAGCAAATTTCTTCTCTGAGCCTTGGTTCCTTTCCTGTAAATGGAGTATAACCGCTCCCATCTTACAGGTGCTTTTCGGTGATAATTAAATAAGGTGACTTCGTGAAAAGTACTAGGCTCTCAAAAAGCTCAGTATTTGTAGAAAGTATGCAGTTTCTAGGTTGGAGAAGCCGGAGTTTGTTTTCAAAAGCCTCGACCACACACAAGGGCGGTTACAGCTCTTGAGGTCCTAGGGGGTCACAGGACGCCTTCCGAGTCGGGGCGGGGGAGGAGAAAACAAAACCGCAAGAAAAAACGAACAACGCTTTCGGGTGGGTCCGGGACCATAGAGGGTCGCTCCGCCTCATTCCTAGAGCGACCACGGCGGCGCCAGAGCGCGGCGAGGCCCTCACTTCCGGCGGCGCGGGAGGCGCCCAGCGAGCCAGGGTGGCGGCTGATCCCGCGCGGTGAGTGGGCCTGTGGCGAGTGCGGCGCGTGGGGCCCGCGTCGGATACTCAGGTCCGCTCGGGAGCGCGCTGGCCGGGGCGATGGCGTGGCTGGCGTCTCCGGCCTCCGGGCTGTGCCTGGCCGCCGGGCGGGGGCGGGAGGGCCACGCGGGCTCAGGGTGGGGCCGCGGCCTGCGCGGCGGGCTGGCCGGGTCAATGAGGAGCGGCCGGCGGAGTGCTGGGGACGGGGGAGGCTTGGAGTGAGGGCCCCGGCGAGGCGCGGCCCGCAGCGGGTGGAACCGGTCGGGTGAGCAGCAGCCCCGGCCCCTTCCGTCGCTCGGAGCGTTCGAGGACTAGATAACGTGGAACAAATGCTTAGGCGGCACAAGGCTGCTCTGAGCGGTTTTCAGATTCAGACTCATTGCAACTTCTAACATCCTGATGGTGTTGCCACTTTATCATTACCCTCCCCATTTTACGAGGAAACTGAGGCACATTCCAGTTAGCTGGGTGTGCAGGAACAGCAGCTTCTGTCACTCAGGTTTAACTTGGTGCTTGCCCCTGCTGCGGAGCTGTGCAAAGCACGGGTCGCCGCGCTGGACTGAGCGATGGAAGATGTGGCTGCCACTAAGAATACAGGCCCTGGAGTCAAACGGCTAGGATCTGGGAACCTGGCCAGTGCCTTCTAGCATTGTGCCCTCGTTTCCTTAACTTCAAACGGAAATAACTGTATAAAGGTGCCGGGAGAATTAAAGAGCTAGTACAGAATCAAGTTACACAGTGTCTGGCACATACTACCTATTAGTATGATTGCCTCATCCGTAGGTGGATTTGACAGTCTGAGTTTCTGACTACATCTGACTTCCATTGTATTAAATGCATGTGCTTTTAAAAATGTGTATAATGACCATTATAGTTATTAAAAAAAAAAACAAAACTCAACAACACCAACACCATGTACCAAACTAACACAGTGTCTCCTGTGTGGTAGATGTTCTGTAAATATTTGCTTAAGTTAAGGACTGAGGTAGTGCTAACTGTAATCTTGTGTTATATGCAGCTTGCTCTTATGCTAACCATAATTACAGCTGATGTAATTATTAAATATCCAGATAAAGTCCTGGGCCTAAAGTCTCAATTATACAATAAGATGAAAGGAAAGCAAGAAAAATGATGTTTTTGTTTTCATTTATTTGCTTTATATGCTTGTATGCAAAGAAACCCAGAGTAATTGTTTCTGTTTTAAATTCCACATTCTGACAAAAGATAATGAAAAATAGTTCCAATAATTGTATTGCTTTTGAAGTTCTAGATTTTCCCACATTGCCACCTATGTGGGGTTTGTAGGGATTTTTGTTGGTTTGTTTTGGCTGTTATTTTAAATAGCCACAAGTCAGCCTTATAAATAAATAAAATTCTTTCAGATTTTGAATTTTGCAGCATTTGGGTATTCTAAAAATTCCATCCTACTTTTAACATGTAAACTCATTTTCTCCCCACTCTCCTTTTCTTGTGTCCTGCCTACCATGCTTTTTTCTACTCAGTTTCATTCAACTAGCTGGTAAAAGTTCTTTTGCAGTTTTCCTCTCTCCGAAAACAATACTTTTGTTTTGGGTTTTCAACAGATTGCTTTCTTGGATCATTAGGATCTATAAAAACCAATAATAAAGCGTGTCTTCATAGACTAAGTAAACCTACCACTCCCTATAGAGAAGTTTCAATTTTCAAAGCACTTTATGCTACAGAATTAGAGCTAAGCTGTCATCTAGAGCTATGGAAATCGAATGCTAAATACAGATAAATAGGAATATATCATAAAGTAGTATAATGTGTCATTTCTTATTCATTTGGATACTTTAGGCAGTTACTAGTGAGTAGAAGTTTAACACGGAACTAAATATTAAAACATAGTGATATTCTGTTACACAAATTTTGATTGTCTTCTGGAGTCATTCCATTCCCATTAAGATTTACCATATCTCCACTTTTTAGTCCTTCAAAATTATGTACTCATTTGGTAATGCCTAGAAAATTTATATTTCATCTCATCACTTTGTTTTTATCCTGTCCCAATAGAAACTCCAGTGCTAAACTCAGTCAAAATTTGGTGATATTTGTTAAGGTTAAACTCTGGAATTGTTAGAATTACTTTGCAAGTATTTCCCCCCATATTATCTTTGTTTGCATTTATACTTTTTAAATTTAAACATGAATGCAATTTTGGTGGTTTGAAGAGATATTAAAATTGAATAATTAACAGATACCTATATTTTTTTTTCTGATCATCTATACTTTTTTTTTTCCTTCTACACACAGAAAATTCTGAGCTGTGCACCGCTAGGAAATGAAACAGTAGTTCAGAAGAAGCCTGTAAACTCTCTTACAAATACATTTGGTTATTCACCATGAGGTTAGCAAAGCCTAAAGCGGGTATTTCTCGGAGCTCAAGCCAAGGAAAGGCCTATGAGAACAAGCGCAAAACAGGCCGGCCGCGGCAGAAGTGGGGCATGACTATTCGATTTGACTCAAGCTTGAGTAGACTCAGAAGAAGCTTGGATGACAAACCCTATAAATGTACTGAATGTGAAAAGAGTTTCAGTCAGAGTTCAACTCTTTTTCAACACCAGAAGATCCATACTGGAAAGAAATCCCATAAATGTGCTGATTGTGGGAAAAGTTTCTTTCAGAGTTCTAATCTCATTCAGCATCGACGGATCCATACTGGGGAAAAGCCCTACAAATGTGATGAGTGTGGAGAAAGCTTTAAACAGAGCTCAAATCTCATTCAGCACCAGAGAATTCATACTGGAGAAAAACCCTATCAGTGTGATGAGTGTGGCCGGTGTTTCAGCCAGAGCTCCCACCTTATTCAACATCAGAGAACCCACACCGGGGAGAAACCCTACCAGTGCAGTGAATGTGGCAAATGTTTCAGTCAGAGCTCTCATCTGAGGCAGCACATGAAGGTGCATAAAGAAGAGAAGCCTCGTAAAACCCGGGGCAAAAATATCAGGGTGAAGACTCACTTACCCTCTTGGAAAGCTGGTACAGGAAGGAAGTCTGTGGCTGGTCTCCGTTAAGTGTAGGGCTTTTTGACAGCTTTTTGAGCCCCCTTGAGAAAAAATAAAAAGTAAAAAATGAATCTTTTTTAGAAATAGAGATGCTTTATAGTAGATCACTTAAATACTGGATCTTTTGCTAGTGTGAAAACATTGGGAATTTAATGACATTGAGCTGAAAGAAATTACATGAGTCCAGCTACCCTCATTTCTTTTTTATGTGGCATGGAGCACAAAGAACTGAAAATACGTTTTGAGGGAGCATGACATTGTTGACCTAATTTGAAATTACTTCCGTTTTCAACCACCATCATGATTTGCAGATACATTTTGAGAAAAACCATCATGTTTTGAGGATACATTTGAGAAAGTGCAGGCATGCCAATGATTACTCAGTTTTAGGACTGTGGAAGAAAAAATTAAAAGGGAGAAGAAATTAATTCCACTACTTTTGAAGTTCTGCAACAGATGAGATTTTGTTTGTAAAGTTTTGTAGTATATTAACCATTGGTTTATGACTCTAGATTCAACATATTAAAATGTATTCAAGCTCACAGATTTTTAATCAGTAAGGCCCATATATATTAGTTCTTTTATTTCTTCTCCTTGTTGACAGCTGTTAATTAAAGGAGTAAGGATTTCCCTGTTTGTTTGTGAATTAAAGGAGTAAGGATTTCCCTGTTTGTTTGTTTTTTAACCAAATTCTTAAGAGATGCTATAGAATCTAAATGAGAACTGAATTGAACCTTAAGTCTCCTATTCCTACTAATAGAGTTCTTTGTGATGGTAACTGCTGTGTCATTTGTTTTCCACAAGTTGGGATGGATTCATGTCGATCCATTCCCATGTCCTTGACCTCTTCTGGCATTCTTTTGTGCTCTGACAAACTGAGCCAGCCTTTTAGATCTACATGAATAAACGAACTATTTTACCAAGAAAAATCTCAGCTTGCTTCCTGCTAATTAAAAACCTACAATTTACACACCTCCCTGCCTTCAAGACTGTGAGCTTTAGATAGCCCTGCTTAATGTTTGTCAACAACAAGAGTCATGTAATGTGTCAGTGCATTGTAGCTCCTTTGAAATTTAACTCTATGTTACATGAATTGTTTTAAGGAGTCCGGCAAACATGTTTATTCACTTCCATGAGAATGGTGCCAAGTGTCAGACTCTGATGAGCCCTCAGCTCAGGTTTTAATTTCTATTGAATGCTAACATTCTTCTGATTTTTTGGTATCTTTTATATCGGTTTCTGCTGTATTAATGACAATTATTCATGAAAATAAAAAATGAAATATTTTGTATACTACTACCTTCTGTTTATTTTTCTCCTGGGGAATTGCTTTAATTATTTAGACACTAGATCTAAAATCACAGCTTTTGGATGGATCACTTGCTTTGCCTGTTTTTGATTTCCTCACACTTGAACTTTGCCTTCCTCCTGGCCTTGCATTTGAGCATAGGGCCATAGAAGTTGGCCTTGTTACAGCCTTGTTGACAAGTGTCATTCCGCAGAATATTCACAAGGTGTTTTGTAAGCATGAGATGATCACAGTTTTTTACAAAAGAAGTGATCTTTGGCCGCCCTGTTACATCCAAGTCACTCCTTGGCAGGACTGTGGCTATGGGGCCTTTTTGAGGATTTATCAATGCTCTTCACATTAGTGTTGTGTCTGGAATAGCTTCAGGCCAGGGCCAACACTTCTTTCCTAAATTTCAGGAATTTGCCCATTCTGACAGCAAACAGGACTGTGCACAGTAGTGATATTAAAAATAATTTAACAAGCAGTATGCCCTTCAGGACAGCAGAAGAATTGTCACAGACTAAGGTCCCTTGTGTGCTTTGAGCATGGGGATGCATTACTCTGTTCCTCCACTGTGTTGGGGAACATGTGGAGAGGAGCACAGATAAGGGGTATTTTTGGTTAATAGAGCTCTGGACCAGTGGAAGATAGATGGAGCCAGTCTTGATCTAGAGATGTCCCAGGGTTTTCAGAGTGTAGTGACTATATGGGATTTGGGATTATCTTCCTTGGGTAGAAGGTATATTGTGTGTGGAAGGAGGAAAGAAGGATATTTGGTGAGATCCAAATGTTGGCCCCATGTTTCCTGGAACCCTTACAGTGCTGTGAGAAACAACACTAGGTCAGGCCATTTGAGTTAGTGATGTTTTTAAAAGCTGTTGTGTGATTCTCTGTGCTCATATTTCCCAGGCCAAAGTGGAGCTGACATTTAGGTAGTTCCTGAGCCTCTTGCCAACCTGCTTTGGGTATCACATGAGTGAGAAATAAACTGTTGAGATAGGCCACAGATTTCAGTGTAGATTTGGTCCTGATTGATGCACCCATCCTGCTGTTTTTGTGCATCTCTGGACCCAATCATCCGTCTTAAAAGTTCTATCCTTTCAGTGGCCTGATGAGAAAAAACAGCTTTTTGAGGTTCATAGTTGAGAAACACTGCCTCGCCTCCCCTACATTCTCTTTCTGTTTCTAGCCGATACCCTGTAATACTTCCTTTTTTTTTTTTTTTGCCTGGGGACCCTTCTCTTTGTTCCTTACTGAGACTTAAAGGCAGCATTAAAACTTGTTTGTGTGTTTTATTTGTATCCCATGACTGTGGCCTGAGGTGAAAGTCCCCACACATAGAGTTGCCGGAATGTCCTGTGATGTCAGCCCTGGAAGTTGAAAATTTGTCCTGAGACTAATATGCTGTCCTCAAACATGGGAGAAAGGGGTGACTGTCCCTCCACCATGCACAGTCTGAGTGTGGCAGGACCCATGAGAGGATGCTGAGTGGGTGCCAGGAGGACTCACCTCCAAGAGCAAGAGCCTCCGGTCCCTGTTCCACATTGATTTCAAATAGATTGAAATTCTTAATTGCAGTCATGATGAACTGAAGACCAGAGGACCTTCCTCCAATTTCCTGGTCCACATGAAGCGCTAGATTGTAACGTAACCCTAGATATGTTGAGGGAACTCTAAAATAGGATTTCTCACCACACTGGTAAAATAGGGGGACTATTTTAATCTCATTTAGCGATAAGTATGATGGCTGTTTCCTAAATTCAGAGTTCTGTAGTAAACTGATAACTAACATTCTTTTCTGTCATTTTTCAAATAAAGCATTGTGACATCTGGTAAAAGAATTACTTTTGTTTTTCTTGTTTTATTGTTCAGAAGAAGTGCAAAATAATCCAGACCAGTTTAAAATTGATAAATTTTACTGCTGAGTGATGGAAAGAGACAAAAATGACAGAAACATTATTCATAGCTGCATTCCTTACAGTAAAGCCAAGCACAAATAGCTGTATTGCTTAGAATCATTGCATTTAAATATAGCAAGATCAAATCTTTCATAGTCTTTATGGATGATATTTTTTTCCTTTGATCCACATGGTTGGTAATGTGTCAGAATAGATTCAGCAATTTTGTCCTACTAAGTAATGGCATTTTATAATTCTAGTGTTATAATATCTGACAGTATTTTACTTAGAACTTTTACATCAATATACATCAACTGACTTAGTTGTAAGTTTCTTTTTGTATGTTATCTTTGTCATAAATGTCAATTACATCGTAGAGCATTTCAGGAACTGTGTCGAGTTCATAATACCAGGTTACAAATGTGTTACACTATATCCCAATTTGTCAAGAGACCTCTCAGGCACAGATTTTTGAATTCAGGAATTCAGGATGGGTATGCCAATTTAAATGAAGCTTCTGAGATGAATAACCTTAAATCCCAGAGAGACCCTGGTTATATCTTTATGTTCAGGGCAATCTAAATGGGTCCCCTAGGATACAAGAAGCCTGTCTATTCAGTGGGATTAAAAGGCTAAATATCGGAATTTAGGCAGGTAAGTCAAAGAGGGGACACTATGATGATTCGGGGGCAAACAGTCATGAAGAGAAGCTCAGGTTCAGTGAGAAAACTGAAGCCATTCTGTGTATTCCACGTAGTTTAATATAGCTAGTTAGACTTTCTGTTATGTCCATGTTTCTTCTTTGCCTGATAAGTTCACCAATTCGGTTTAACCCAGCACCTGCATTCCATTTTCTCTATTAGAGTAATTGGTCTGGTTTCTCTTTTTCTAGCTAGACTTTGGCTGAAAGGACAATAATAAGAGAAATAAAACTACAAGGAGCTACTATTTCTTATGTATCAGAATGACCAATAGTGTAAAACCTACTCTGTTGGTGAGGCTGTGGAGAGCTAGCCAAACTCAGACATTGATGGTGGGATACAAAATGTTACAACCCATACTGAGGAGGGATTTGGCAATATCTAGCAGAAGTATATATGCATTTACTCTCTGATCTAGAAATTGTTTCCAGAGATTGCTTCCAAAGATACAGTACCAACAATATAAAACAATGTATACACTTGGCTGCACATTTTTATAGAAAAGACTCATTTCTCAGGCATCTGGCTCCAATGGAGTGTCATATATTTGTTCGATAATGGGCTTTTTATGATGTTCTCATGACCTTTGCTTGTGTTGTAGTTGTACCATACGTCATTTTCAGAGGTCAGCTTGCCTCGTTTTGTACAGGACCCAGAGTGTAGTTTAATAAGTGCTCTCGAGGAGATTAAGTGTCACTGCTGATGCAAACCAGCAAATTAAATTCCCAGGCTCAGCTGGAAATACTTCAGCCCAGTGAGGGCGCTGGGTAAGAGGAAATAGCCACATCAAGACTTCATTGTTAGAAAACAGACTTTTTCTATTTGACGTTACATAAAACTGTCACTAGATGGCAGCAAAGGAGAGATCATGGAAAACAACCCGTCCTGTAGTTTCTCCACATTCAACTTGTACAGGTTGAGTGTCCCTTATCCGAAACGTTGGCGACCGGAAGTGTATCAGAATTCAGATTTTTTTTTTTTATCATTATTTGGGAATATTTGTATATACATGATGAGATATTTTGGGGATGGGACTCAAGTCTAAACACAAAGTTCATGTGTTTATTATACCCCTTGTATACATAGCCTGAAGGTAATATTTTTAATAATTCTGCACATGAAACAAAGTTTTCACTGTGACCTATCACATGAGGTCAGGTGAGGAATTTTCCACTTGTGGCGTCACATTGACATTCAAAAAGTTTCAAATACTAGATTTTCGTATTTAGGGATGCTCAATCTGTGTTTTCCTTTGAAAATACCATGCTCAAAATGTAGAGACTACTCTTTACAATCAACTAGGGTTCAGCTAAATGTCTGAAAATACAAGCATAATTTAAAAAGTTGAGCACATTTTAGTCAAATTACCTGAATGCCATTTCTATTTCCACTGTAACTTAGATGTTTAATAACTTACAAGACACAGGAGGATAGGCAAGTCCTTTTCTTATCCTGGTAGAAAAAGAAATTATCCAAAATGTTTGCTAAACAAATAATAGCTACTTTCTCAGTTTCTCTCTTTTGCTCTTTTCTACAGCCAGCTCCATGAAAGATTTGTCTACATTTATCTTCCCTATTTCCTTACCTGGCAGTCTCCCCTTAGTCTATTTCCATCAAGCTTTCATCCATCACTCTGCTCAAAAGCACTCTCTCCAAGGAGTCTCCATGAAAATCTGTGTAGAACAGTGGCCCAGACTTTGAGACGATGGCTAGAATGCAAAGCCAGACCCTTCGGGAATGAAATGCAGCTGTAGAGACTGATGCAGGAGCTGCAGAGTTGGGAGAACAGTTTACTTTTCATAGATAAGAAGCTGTTTGAACTTCTTATCATGTGCAGACATTCTATTTACAGTTGAAATGTAAATTAAAAGTGAATTACATTCCAGTAGCAAAACAGAGATTGGGAACAGCCTAGGGAAACAGGAAAGTGGGTCCCAGAACAACACTTAGGTCCTTTCTCGCCTTTGCCTGGTAGATGAGAAGTCACCACTGAGAAGCCAGTTGTGAGCACTGAATTCATAAAGTGACCATCTCATCTAGAACTTACTCTAATCCTTCTCCTGGTGCTTTTCTTCTCCCTTCTTCCAAAAGGCTGAGCTGTACCACAGAGCCTACACATGTGAACCTCTTGGTGGTTAGCAGTTGAGTGCATCTGGGGTGGGATGTAGAATCTGAAAGGCAGTGTGATGTAAGAGAAAAATCTCTGACCTGGAGTCATTAGTCCTGAGTTCTAGATCCAGTTCTGCTATGGAAAATCTATGTGCCTTTAGGCAAGTCATTTTTTTCTCTCTGGTCTTAAGACCAAATGAAGCCAAAGTTGGCAAGTAAACTTGTTTCAGTTATGATCCTATGGCTTCAAGGTGCTAAAACCAACAGTCATTAACCAAAGCAAAATAAAGAGAAGTAAAG